CCCACATATCTGAAAAAGGACTTTTTATTGTCCTTGATGCTCGAAGCAAGTTGGAGTTCAGTTGCAGCCTTGTGACAGAATGTGACAGTTCAGAGCAAGGAGAGAGAAACTATATTAACACTGCTATATCAAAAGTGAGATCTCATGTCTGCCAAAGGCAGGAGCTTAGTTAAGGAGACCATAGCCCCCCGCCCCCCCTCAACAAAGACAGTCTTCCTGCTCATGTTAAAGGGATCCTCCCTCAGCCAGCCATAACAGTGACAACTCCTAGTTCTGATATAACACTTATCAGTAGATCTCAAAGCACTTTATCAAGGAGGCCCACATCACAGAGATAAGTCCCTCTGAACTTGGTCTCTAGGCCACTAAAGTGTAATAACTCTTTTTTCACTCATACATATGGGCCCCTCCTCACCCTTGTCAATACAGCTAGTGGCCTGAAGCCACAATTCAGCACCAAATGCAATGTTCTTGGGTTGATCAAAATTTCAAACTGGGATTCACTAGGGATTTATTCCCTTGTAATTACCCCCCTCCCCCCACCCCTTTCTGTGATTCTTTTTTCCACACCCCAACCTTCAAACCCCGAGGACACTGAGGTCAGAGGTGGGCTGGCTACACACTAGTGCTGGCACTGTCTAATAATGGGCTCCCCTGAGCAGTGCAAACAGGGGATTTGACTTGAGAACTATGTTGGCCACACATGTCTGTAACAAATGGATTGGGGGAAATTGTGCACTTATGCTTAGCATGGATCTTATGAACAAATCCCTCTCCAGTGTCAGTGAAAGGAACAGTTTTCCCCATTCCCAGGCTGAAAGGCATGCTGTTAATAGGAGATATTGTTTACATTGCAGGGGATGGGAAAGTGAACTTCTTGGACTTCCTGACCATTATTAGTGACACCAAGCGCTTCATCCAGGCTGTAGGTGAGCGAGACAAACCCTGCAAAATTAATGAAACTGGCCATCAGCTTCCTGCCTATGCTAGCTCAGGGCAAGAAATCATGGAACAATTTGAAATTAACAGAACATCAGTGTCTGAGGTTCCCTGAAAAATGTGCACATGGACAACTCCCTGGGGTAGGAACAGCTATACAGCTTTTCCAAGTCCTCATCAGTCCAGCTCAGGGGAGGAGGAAGCTGCTACACTCCTGCCTATGAATCCAAAGGCACAAAGAAAAGAGGAGGCCCTAATACCACTGCTATGACTGCTAGGTGGATTAGGAGGAAGCACAATGAAGAGGCAGTATGATCACAATTGAGATCATCAGGGTGCATGTGGTTAATCAGAGCTGGGCTCAGTATATAAAATACCAAGGGCCAAATCCTGCCTCTTCCAAGGCAGGATGCAGAAATAATGGAAGACAATGCTTCCCTTGGGAGACGGGAAAGCTCAGTGAGAAGTATCCTTTTCTAAAAACACAGCTAGCATTCACAGCAGTGCTTCCAGCTGGGGATACATGCACCTGCACCACACTCTCCTCAGACAAAACTGTTCTGGAGGTCACTGGTGATCTCAGTGCTGGCTTGGATCCTTACTGCCTGGGATCATCAAAGGTAGGAGCTGGCTTGGTAGACTGAATGCTCTGACCCTTATGCCTCTCCCACAGCTCCTGAGAAAGGCAATCTGGACAGCTTCAATTCAGTTGATGCCACAGGAATCTTGCTGTTTGAAGTCCTGTCAAAGCTGATGGAAAAGCCAGCTTTGTCCAGGAGGACCATGCTTGAGATTGTCAAGTGAGTGGGTAAAAGTTCCCTCAAGATCTGGAGAGAGGGTGATTTCTAGTGTCATACCTATGCCCCATACAGCTCTATCCACCTTTCAGGCCTTTCTGGAAACAGAAAAAGGATACCTGCTCTATTTTTCCCTCCTTTGCTGGACATCTTTTACGGAGTAAGGTGGGAATGAGACTCCTCAAGGGCACCGCTGTCTTGTCCAATAACATCTTTTCTTTTCTAGTTACTACAGAAACAAGTTCCTGGACTGCACTAGCAAGAAAGCTTGGATGGTCATGGACAGCTTTATATGTCATAATAAAAGGCTCCACAAACTCAAAAAACACCAGGCTCAACAAAAAGGTGCTGCATCCCCCACACCTGCCTTTGCAAAGGTTGCCCACATCCCAGTCATGAACAACAAGGAGCTGCAAAGCTGTGTTGAAACCCTCAGAGGTAAGGACTGCTCAAAGCTCAGTCACTTCTGTTATGTACCTGAACAGGGCTTTACTGGCAATGCCAAAGAGGCTAGGTCCAATCTCACAGCTATTCAAATAGTGAAGTAAAGGTGATGTCTTCTTCCCCTGCCTGACTCAAAGTCCACTGGTATGGCCATGCTAACCTTTTCCTCTCCAGTTTCTCCATATACTGACCTCATTGTTTGCCTTTACTCTGGGGCACTAATCACTGATCGGGGAACTAATTGTGCCCTTCAGCCATGACCCCAGCAATACTTAAGCCTTGTAGGTGTTATTCAGTCCTTGTTCATAGCCTTCTGGCTCACCAGTTTCTGCAGCTCAGGCTCTGTCCAGTCTGTCTAGGCTTCAGACCCCTCAGCTTTAGCCCACTTTTCTCTGGTAGTAGTCTTTAGTCCTGGCCCACTAGTTCTGGTCTGGCTTTCTGGCCTCAGCGTATCCCTCTCCCAGCCCCTGACCCTCACAGAGTTAACAATTTCAGCAGGCTCTGCGGCACTCTGCTGTGCTGCTTCCAAACCACCCGTTTTCAACCACTCTGGTCAAACTGATTCTTAACGAAAATATAACCCCACTAAATAAAAACAAGCATGGACCAAAATCTTAACTCTTCCAGGCACACTCACCAACAAGAGGGAGGCTCCCTTGCCCTTCCTGCACAGTGATTCCCTTCTGCCTTGGGACAAGCCTATATATTGGCCAGCTTGTCCCCTATCAGTCAGCTGACCCCTGCTGCTCAGCCTTGGCCCAAGGGTTTCCATTATTCCAGCTAGAGCCTTATCACTCTCAGCCAATTCTATAAGCAGTGGTCTACGGTCCTGAGTTAGTTGCTTGTCATTAAGCAGTCTTGGTACTGGTTGTAGTTCACTTCTGGTCAGGAGTGGAGCCTCCATGAAGCTCACTGCCTGGCAGTCTGTCCTTTCCAGAAGCTGGCAGCTCTGCTACCCAAGCAGCTGCTCTCCCAAAACTGCCTACTACTGTAAGTACTACACTTTTCTTGCCCTTGCAGTCTACAGACCAGAGATTCCTTTCCAGTTGGTCTTGGGGATCTGAGCTCCTAATCTCTTTTTGCTGCTACATTCTCCCGTTTTGAGTCGCTGCCCCTCTGGCCACAAAACTGCTATTCTTAAAGGGGCCTCATAGATTTTGCTGACCCTTCAGCCCTTTTACAGTAATAGGACCCGGATCCCTTGTTACAGGGAGGTCTTTCCTTAAACTCCATCAGGCTGTGAATGAAGCCCTTGGTTAGCAAAAATTTTTCACAATTAGCAGTTGGTAAACCCACTCAAAGTATCCACCTGTACCCAAAATAACCACTGTTAACACTCACATATCAAGATGTGTGAATAATGGAAGGGAGCATAATCATATATTTCAAGTGCAGGACACTGGATTCTTTTCTAGGTTGTGACACAGACTCACTGTGATCTCAGGCATGTCATTTCACCCCAAATTTTCAGAACCAACTACTGAATTGGCTTTCCCAACCACAGGCGACTTATCCAGTCAGGATCTGAATCAGAAACAGAGTTGGGACACTCTTCTAAGTTCCACCAACATGGAGCACTACCATTGTTAGGTTTGCCTCTTCTTTAACTGGGTGAAAAATAAATGGCAGTCTCTCCAAAATACCATTCATTGGCAGTGCCAAACAGAACACTATATCAAGCAAGAACGCCAAGGTGCTAAAGAGTGATAACAGTTTGCAGAAGTGTATAGTATTGCCATGTACAAGTCCAAGACCTGACTCTATTAGACCATTCTGTTCTTCCAGGCTTGAGTCAGACCTAGACCTGAAGTCCAGGGAACCAGATTTCTTCACACTGCTATGCAGGTGTCTGGGCAGGGCAGCAATGAATATATATAGCTGGGGGCTTTTTCTGAAAAGTCACAATAAGATGTTATAAGAAGAGGCTGCACAAACAGTCCAGTCAGCTCTATGAGAACCAGTGACTTTGTAATGTCATTTGCGTCCAATCTGCATCAGTAAATCCAGCTGTTTTGAAATGACACCCTTGATAATGCCACTTTCAATACAGAGTGTAGGGTCTGCACTCATGCTGTTTGCGCCCTTGTCCTGTACAGTAACACAAATGTTTGAATGGGGTTAAAGGGAACAACAACCTTACTAGCTAGACTGGGTCCAAGTCAAACTGTGGCAAAAAAGAATTTTAATCTAAGGAATTGCACTATCACTCCATTAAGGTCTACAGCAGTAATTCTCCACCAGGGTGCCACTGTAGCTTTGGGTGCTGCAAGATAGGAAAAGTGTCAATATAGGAAGCTGTAGTGTCAAAAACATTCCCAAGCTGTTTGCCCCTCAAGAATTGCTCTATTACTGTCAAAAAACAAGCAATAGATAAGAGCTGACATTTTCCAGGGGGTGCCTCAAGGCTTACCAGGGGTGACTTGAGTTTATAAAGGTTGAGAACTGCCACTCTAAAGCAGGGCTGCCCAACTTCAAAGTGGCTGCAGACTGCTGGCCTCCCAGCCATGCCACACAAGCTGCACACCCCCAGGGCTATATGTCACACAGGTCCCATGCTGTGCTACACGAGTCTCTCCGACTACCCGCACCACCTTGTATTGGGGCTGACATGTCACATAAGCCTTCCCTCCCCCATCACACCATGAGCACCCAAAGCACCACATGAGCACAAGCCCCGAAACATTACTTGAGCCTCCGCCATGCCCATGGCCCCGATGCATGGACATGCCACCCCATGTGGGCCCCCTGCATGCACAGATGTGATGTGCGCTGCAGTCTCGCCATGTGGCTCTCACCTGCTGCATGGCAAATGATTCCCACTGCACCATGGTGGTGCAGGTGCCAAATGCGGTCCCCAACAGCCCTCTGACCATGGGCTCCTGCAGCCCCATGGGCCACACCACCCTACTCTGCCCTACTTCCAAGATTGAGGGCAGGCAGTGGAAGCTGAAGGAGGATGGGGGAGTTCAGGGGCTCCAGCATCAATGCAGGATCGCAAAGGGGAGCAGTGCCTGGACCAGGAGCCCAGGGACTGCAGCTTAATCCCTTGGGGTGGGTATACCCATGTGCAGGGCCGTGCAGTTTGTGGCACCACAAACCACTTTATGGTGCCACAAGCCACACATGGGGAACATGAAAACATGTACCGTGCTGCAAACTTGCAACGTGGTGGAAAATTTGCTACTGAGAAATCCCGGTAGCAAAAAAACCCACCAGAATAAAATGTGGTACAATGCATGCAAAACAAGTGTGTGCCAGAACAAATGGAGACCAGGCCATCCAAAGCAATGTTCTGGCTGTTGGCCAAGCCTCCATGCTGCCCCTGCTGCTCCAGCACACCACCAGGTAAAACTGCTGAGGCCAGCACAGGTACTGGACCCAGCCTCCCCGACCCCTATCCAGGACTATTTGCTGCATGCCAAAACTCACATGCAGAGGAATGTGATGGGGTACAAAGCAGCAGGTACAAATTTGTGCTGCCACTATTTGTGCCTCTGCAAGTGCACACCCCTGCACATGGGGACCCGCCCTTGGGGACAGCATGCACCCCATAGGCTGCTAGTTGGAGAGCCCTGGTTTAAAACAATCAGATTAGCCAAGCCAGCCCTAAATAATGTTTAGCTCCTCTTTGTGGCAAATCAAAGTAAAGCAGCTTGCAGGCTAAAAAGACTATCTGTTTAGTTCTTACGATGACTCATTGATTAAGACATTTTCAGAAGCGTTCTCTAATTTGTGGTACCTCTGTTTATGAATTCCTAACTTTACACATAGAGAGGCCTGATTATTTAGGAGAGCTAAGAACCCCCAACTTGCTTTGGCTTCAGAGGGAATAGTAGGGGTTCAGATGCCCCTGAAAATTAGGCCCTGAGGTCTCTAGTGGTGTACCCCAACTCAGATATTACTGACCCGTCTGCCTGAGCCTAGATGGCTTATTAGCCTGGCCTGCTGAAGACAGGCCATTTTTTGTAGCCAGCAGCACACAAGTGACATAGCTACAATTACATCTAGCCATCTTTGACACATTAGCCCAAATGACTACATAACTGTGTACAGCTGGGTTGGCATGGGGCAGCCTTTATCGAAAAGCTTGAACCAACATTTCTAGTACCATTGCAAGCTGGCTTGTCTGCTCTGCCAGTACACACTTCTGTCTTAAGGAGAGCAAGGTACAAAGAGAGGAGGAAGGTGAGCAGTAGGGACCTCAGGACTTGCACAGTTCAGAGTTGGTTGGACTGGTCATAAAGTAAGAAGAACTAAGAGCTAAACAGCAGACAGCAGTGCTCAGTTACTAACGCCCAGTCCTTTTCTTCCTTTTGTTAGCAAGTACTTCCACTTCAAACAGCCCTTATGCACAAGTACCCATCTTCCCATTGCTTCCCAATCGAGATGGCGTGACAAAGACCAGGCCAAAAAAAGACTTGCAAAAGCTGGAGATGCAGAGGAGGAAAAAAAGGATACCATCCTTTGAGAACCACTTCTTTCATAAAAGAAACTGGGTGCATGAGGTGAGCAGAAGCAGTTTAACTATGGAATGACCTCCGAGGCACAAGAACAAGTCTGAATCCTTGTGGCACAGATACATTCCCACTGAAATCTGTGCTGCCAACATGCCTGGCATGCAACTGGCATGTAGGCACCTGAGACCTATTGCAAGGTGATATGGAAGGTGGTGTAACTTAGATTCTGTTAGGCTCAGACGATCAGATTTTCAAAGGAGCCTTAGACGTCTTCGAAAATCCTAGCCACATTCTTTTAGACATCCCTACTTGTATCTAAAGGTCTACATTAGTGCATCTTATCTAGGGAGCTGGCAGCTCATGGAAGCGGCAGTAGGTTGGGGGCTGCTTTAACACACTCTCTTACAAACTTCCCATTTTTCTCACCAACTTTAGAATGCATTACACTTTGTGAGCCAGATTCAGTGATATGAAACAGGAGTGAGTCTGTCTACAGAAGCCTATAGCAATGTGGTAGACAACTAAATGTACTGAAGAGGAATCAAATTACACGAGTTTAGCTTCCCTTTAAATTTTTTAGACTCATTTCTGAAGGAGGTAACTAGAAAAATGCTATCTGGTTCCCTGTAAGAGAAAGCCCCTGTGTCCCAGAGCTGTTTTTGCAGTTATTCAATTCATACTCATTAGTACAAGAGCACAGTGGCAGAGCCCTTAAGAGGGCTTCTGGTAAATCCAGAAATGTGAGGAAGAGTCTTTCTCCAAGCTTAGTGCTGACCCATCAGGCATCTCTGAGTGAGAAGCTGGTCATCAAGCAGAACCAAAGATGGCCAGACATGAGGCTGACCACACCACTCCCATGAATTCTCTTCACTATATACACTAATATGTCTTCATCATGCTCATCTATAAAGAGTTACCTTAGCTTTAAACAGACCTTGGATACTCTATAGTTTAATGTGTGTTTAATGCAATGGACTTACTGGACATGTCTACATGTGCGCTTTAATGCACATTAGCCAATTTTAAAATATCACAAAAAGTACATTTTTACTAATGGGCATTAAAATAGGCTAATACACCTTTTTCTAGTACCTTACAATGGAGGTACTAAATATAACGCACATTAGCAAAAGTATATTAATGAACATGTAGATACACCAAGCATGGCTGTAAGTCCATTCAAGATTAACATGTCATGGAGCATCTTTGTGGTTTGCACACCTGGCATTCACCAGAGCCAAAGTGGCTGGAATTGCTCTCCCCTTTACAAGGCCAAAAAGCCTCTAGGTGACTGTTCCACATAACAATAGTAGCTCCTCTTATAGGGAACCAGAGTCTTACTTGCTCCTATACTTCTTAAATTACTAAACTGGATAGGGTTAGGCTCCCTCCCTAGCAGCCTGAAGGCAAAATAACAGAATCATAGAAAATTAGGGTTAGAAGAAACCTCAGGAGGTCATCTAATTTAACCACCTGTAGGACCATCCCTAACTACATCATCCCAGCAAACGCTTGATCTAGCTGGGTCTTGAAAACCTCCAGAGACAGAGATTTCACAACCTCTCTGGGTAAACCTGTTTTACTACCCTCCTAGTGAGAAAGTTTTCCCAGTCTCCTCTTCCCCAGACTAAATAAGCCCGGTTTCTTCAGCCTCTCCTGATAAGTCATGTGCCCTAGCCCCATTTGGATTTTCATTGCCCTCCACTGGACTCTCTATTTCTCTACATCCTTTCTGTAGTGGGGGGCCCAAAACTGGACAAGGCAATCCAGATGTGGCTTCACCAGTGCTGAATAGGGGAAAATAATCACTCCCCTCAATCTGCTGGCAACATTCATACTAATGCAGCCCAGTATGCCATTAGCCTTCTTTGCAACAAGGACACACTGTTGGCTCATACTCAGCTTATGGGCCAATGTAACCCCCAGGTTCCTTTCTACAGACCTGCAGCTTAGCCAGTTGGTCCCCAGTCTGTACTGGTGCATGGGATTGTTCCATCCTAAGTGCAGGACTTCTCACTTGTCTTAACTGAACCTCATGAGATTTCTTTTGGTCCAATCCTCCAACTTGTCAAGGTCGCTCTGAATCCTAGGCCTACCCTCCAGTGTATCTAGTACTCCCACCCACTTGGTGTCATCTACAAACTTGCTGAGGGTACACTTCATCTCATCTTCCAGGTCAAAGATACTGAACAAAACAGGTGCCAGGACCAACCCCTGGGGCACTGCACTTCATTCTAGCTGACAACTAGACATCAAGCCATCGATTACTATACTTTGAGCCTGACAATCCAGCTAGTTTTTATCCACCTTACAGTCCATTCATCCAACCTATATTTCCTTGGCTTGCTTGCAAGAATGTTGTGGGACACTGTATCTAAAGCCTTGCTGAAGAGAAGGTATATCACGTCCACTGCTCTTCCCACATCCAGAGAGCCAGATATCTTGTCATAGAAGGCAATCAGGTTGGTCAGGAATGATTTGCCCTTGGTGAATCCAGGCTGACCGTTTCTAGTCACCTTCTTCTCCTCCAAGTACTTAGAAATGGATTTCTTGAAGACCTGTTGCACAATTTTTCCAGGGACTGTGGTGAAGCTAACTGGTCTGTAATTCCCCTCTAGATCCTCCTCCTCGTTCTTAAATATGAGCACTATAATTGCTGTTTTCAAATCATCCCAGACCTCTTCTGATTGCCACAAGTTTTCAAAAAGGATGGCCAGTGAGCTGTTTGTTGGTGAGAAAAACAGAAAGTCTGTATGCAGTCACATCAACCAACTCCCTCAGTTCTTTCGGGTGCATCACATCCAGCCCCATGGACCTGTACATGTCCAGCTTTTTCTAAATAGTCCCTAACTGGTTCTTTTACCACTGTTGGCTGGTCACCTTCTCCCCATACTGTGCTGCCAGGTGCAATAGTCTGGGAGCTGACCTTGCTTGCGAAGACAATGGTAAAAAAGGCATTGAGTACTTCAGGCTTTTCCAAGTCATCTGTCACTAGGTTGCCTCCCTCATTCAGTAAGGGACCCACACCTTTCCCTGATCTTCCTTTTGTTGCTAACATACTTGTCAAAACCCTTATTCTTCATGTCCCTCACTAGCTGCAACTCCAGTTTTGCTTTGGCCTTCCTGATTTCATTCCTGCATGCAAAGCAATACTCTTATATTCCTCCCTAATCATTTGCCCATTTCCACTTTTTGCAAGCTTCCTTTTTGTGTTTTAACTCACTAAAGAGTTCTCTGCTAAGCCAAGCTGGTCTTCTACCATACTTGCTAATCTTCCTGCACATCAAGTTGGTTCATTCCTGTGCCCTCAGTAAGGTTTCTTTAAAATACAACCAGCTCTCCTGGACTCCTTTCCTCCTCAATCTGGCCTCCCAGGGGATCCTGCCCAACAGTTCCCTGAGCAAGTTGAAGTCTGCTTTTCTGAAGTCTAGGGTCCCTAATCTGCTGCTCTCCTACCTTACTTTCCTCAGGATCCTGATCTGCATCATCTTATGGTCACTGCTCCCAGAAGATTCTGGGAGAAAACATGGCAAAGCTGCCTCTGCAGCTGTCTGGGTGGGATATCTGGAGGAATAAGCGTTTCTCTAAATGCTGGAAAAGAGAACAGCCCTAGGCTCTTCAGGTCCCAATCTCAGCATCAAGTAACTGAGGCCATACAATAGTGAAGGAATGAACTTGAGTTCCTGAAAGCTTGTCCTCTCAATATAAATCTTATTTAGTTAGTCATAAAGATGCATATCTTCCCTGCCTTCTGACTATCTTCAGACTAACACAGCTAACCACCTCTCTCTCAGACCATACAGGCCATTCCACAAGCATATCTAATTCTCTATTCTCCCCTACAATATTAACCCAAACTGTTTTTTATGGGAACCCCTGGCTATGTTTAATAACACAGAATAATACTTTCAGAGCCACCAGTCTATGTTTTATTAAAAGTATTTCTGGCATACATCAGCACTGAAAGTGCTTAGGGCCAAATCCTATCTTGATTATTCCAGTGTAAATTGAAAGCAACTCCACTGACTTCAGTAGAATCAGTCTGAATTGACACCAGTGTAATTGAGAACATGCTTGCCAAGATAGGACTAGTCAAATTTCATGCTTCAAGTAAGGATTTCCCCAAATACACAACAATAAACAATTGCCTAGGTGCACTGGAGAGGGCTTTGTTGTCCCTAAAAGCATTAGGACCAAAAGCAGATAAACACCTACTTCTGTTTTTTTTTTAATTAGGCAACTGTTTTCAAACCTCCTGATGACTTCCAAGAACGGCGAACCTCCCTTAGTCTAAGCCCTCAGTTGCTGAACAAGGAACGCTGGTTGACTATAGAAAACTTGAATGAGATACGAACAAATGTGAGTATAAAACCAAACACTTCTCCTGAGGACTTCCAGCACCCCTTGCCTTTTCAATCTATGCCTGATGAGCACCATGCTGTGGGCCCTCCTTCCCCATGTGGGATTTTCAGAACCAGCTAGGCTCAGGCTCCTGCAAGGACTCTTTAATTCAGCAGTCTCTTCTTCTATGCACTGGCTAGCTCTAGGGATTGGGGGTAGGCCATGGCATCCCTTTTGCCTCTAGTGTGCTGGTTTCAATCCAGATAAAGGAGATTATTCATTCAGGAAGCCAGAAGTGGGACACCTTGTCTCTCACTAGTGGGGTACTGGAATGAATACCAACAGATCTGTCCCAGCATCCACCTAAGGGTGTCCTTTTGACAAAGTGAAATGTGTAAATGTGTGTGGGGGGAAGTAACCCTGCACATGTTGAAAGAACGCTGCCAAACTGCTGCTGTTGCTGCAAGGAATTGTGTACAACCAGTCAGATGTTAGGGGGTTAACAGAGCAGCAACAGGCTGCTTTTCTCCCTGCTGCAGAGGTTGGGTGTTCAAACTGCTGGCAAGACATTTGTCTTCTTCTTTCCACCTTCTGAAAAAAGTATGTGCGTCTTATGTCAGGGGGAAGGAGCAAGGGAGAGGTAAGGTGAATAAAATGTGAATAAATGCGGTGTTGCAGCCTCTTTCAATTTCCATCTTTTCTCTGTAGGTGAAGCAGGTAACTGATACGTACAGGCAAGGGATAGCACTCCAGGAGAGGAACAGGATATTGAAACTGTGGCAGAAAGTACATGGCAGACAGACTGGGTTAGAGGCAGGAACCGAGAGCTTCTATCACACTTTCTCCACCTACTCCTGGTCATGGAACATCTGCCAGGAACTGGTGACACCCAGTGACCTTCGAAAGTATGATAACAAACTGTACCACAGGCAGCACTCCTCAGCCTCCTCCACAGACGTTGACATTAAGGATGGGAAAGGAAGAGGAAAGCAATGAGAAAGAAATGACCAGGCAGCCACATCTTAACATTGCTGTTGCCTCCTCTGTCTCTCACACACATGTTCACCACCCTCAATTTTCTGTACATGTCTTGGGCTGTTAAGCTTGCAGCCCTGGAGGCTGGGAAAGGGAAAGTATCCCCTTTGGATACTAACAAGCACAAATGACGGGTGCCCCTGGAGGCTGGGGGCAGGCACGGTGACTACCTGCAGGTGGCCGAAGCGGTGGGGTGGCAAGCACTGACCAGCGGTTGGGGACCACCCGCAGACACCGCCAGCAGCGACAGCCAGCAGCAATCAGATGCTGCTGGTGGTGTCAGTGGTGGGGGGTGGTGAGTAGTGACTGCTTGCAGGTGCTGTTGGCAGCGCTTGTCAGGGGGTGCACCCCCTATGCCTCACCAATGCTGCCAAGTACGGTAAATCAGAAGTGGCACTTGGCTTTCCGCTGCCCACCTCGGTTCCTTCTCTACAGCCAGCTCCAAGCATAGGAGCCTCAGTGCTGGGGGCTGGAGGCGCCAGGCATCCTGTTGCTCCGCCTCGCAGGCTGCTTTGGGCTCGTTCCCCTCCGCGGCGCGGTGCGGCATAGATTTCCCGCTGCGCGAGACGGGCAGAGCTGCGCAGCGGAGCTGGTGTCTGGCGCGGCCACGCGTCCTGATCTCGGGATCCCGCTGCCCTAAGCGCGGCGCATCCCGGCTCCTTCCCGCTCACGTGCGGCCCGCACCTCATCAGCAGCAGCCGCCGGCTCTGGGGACGCCCCAGACCGGGAGGTGGGGACGAACCCGGCTCTAAGACTGCAGCTGCCTTGTAACAGGCGGGCCGGCCCCCTCCTTCCGCGCCTGCCCCGACTCCGGGCGGGGCCTGGGGGAGGAGCCAGCAGCGGCTGCCACGTGCCTGGGGCCCCACCCCCTCCCTTCCGGTTCCCCTTTCTCTTTCTCTTCTCTGGCCCCACCCCGCCCCCGGCCACGTGACCCCGCGGCGGTAGCAGCCAACGCACGTCTCGCCCGGGGGGGGGGCGTGGGGAAATTGCGCTAGTTTCCGGTTCCGGGTCCTGCGGGCCGGCATGGCGGCGCCCTGCGGGCCGGAGGGGACTGCGGGGAAGAGGCAACGGTTCGGGACCCGCCTCCTGACCGATCCGAGTCACCTCTTCCAGCACAACGCCTGGTGAGCGCGCTGCCTTTGCCCTGGGCCGGGCTGACAGACACGAGCGGAGAGGCCTGTTTGTTGGGCGCCCCCTAGGCTGGGGCGGGGAAGGGGCGCGCCAGGTGTCACCATCGAGCCGGTGGGTGGGCAGGCAGGCAGGCAGGCTAGGATCCCTGGGACCCCGCCCCTGGGGGGCACGTGATCCTCTCCTTAGGGGCGCGCGCATAGGTGGGCGGGCCCCGCCCCCAGAGGAGCCGCGCGTGACTCTGGCCCACGCCCGTTTCCCATGTTTTTCTGCAGTGAACAGAAAACTTGGATCCCCGCGTGATACTGGGAATTCAGGACAAATGCTATCTGGTAGTCACAGCCTGGGGCGGGGTCTTGAAATTCCCATTTCAGGGCTGTCCTACCTAATTAGGAACAAGTGGTCACCTTAGTTGGTGACACTAGGTGACCATGCAGGCATTGAGCCCACCCAGGGCCCTTGCTCAGGACTGAGGCACTCCTGTGCTGCAGGGGTACGATAGTGAGGACTGGCTCTTTGGGTTCGATACCAGTCACAGAGGGCTCAGTGATGGAGCTCTGGCTTGTGGCGATCTCGGTGCCCATTGTAGTCCAGGACTATTTGGTCTTGGGATGTCCAGCGCTGAAGTCCTACAGCATTTTTGTAAAGGGCTGAGATATTGAGCTCAATGTCCTTCCTGGGTTTTATTTTCTGCTGTTAATGTTCTTACTCCCAAATTCCTCGCCTTTTTTTCCCCATCAAATGCATTGTTCTTCACCCTGAACTGTTGTTTGTCACAGCAAATAAATAGTTGTAGAGCATTTAAAATAATTGGTGCTTTTAGGATGTTTTTGATGTTTCAAGTGCCCTGGCAGCTGATGCATGAACTATCTAGGGATCATGTCAGTAGGACATCAAAACTACTCTAAAGTGAATGCTGTTGAACAGTACAAGCATCTCTTGGGAACAGTGGGAGGCTCTGGGGTTTGTTTTGTTATTTTCCAGAAATGTTAAGTGTCCACAAAGTGTCCACTAAGGTGGACTTAGTGGGAACTGTAGGTACCTGGTACTTTTAAAAAAACATGGACTGAAATTAATACCTTTCAACTTAGCTTTAAACCTGCTGAGTTCCATCCCAGACCTGCCTAAGTTTTGGTGGTGGGCAAAGTAATTTCTGTATGTAGTTTATATATTGCTTAGTAATGCAGCTAGGAATTATTTGATATCAAAGATACCTTTTAAAAGTAAATCCACAATACTTCTTTCTGATGAAATAAAGGGACTCCTAGGAAACTATCATTTTGGTTTTTTAAGTCATAGTTAAATGTAAATATTTTTTTAAATCCATGCTGAAGCCAGAATAGCCCATATCTTCATGTTTCAAAGTTCTTAATTCAAAAGCAACCAAGCAAGCAAATATGGCCCATTTAATGCTTGCCCAGCTTTATATACGCATCAGAGCAGTTAGTACAGGGGTGGGCAATTATTTTGGGCAGAGGCCACTTTTGACGAGCTGTTGAGGGTTGCATGGGTAGCCCCACTCCTTGACAGGTGCCTCGCCCCTGGTCATCTTATGACTGGAAGTCCCTCCCCCTAAACCCTGACCTTTGCTACCAGAAGTCCCTCCCCTTACCCATGGGAATACTCCTTTCAGCAAGGGGTTTTGCCATCTCAGAACCAGAAAAATACTAAATTATGTTCTAAAAAGTGAACATCCACAACATTCATTAATTTGATTTCAAAAACTGTGTTTTCCTGATTTACATACATTTGCAGTGCACAGTAACTTAAAATGAAGTCTTACTCTTGTATATTGTTGGGGTATAGGTATAGATATGTGGGATGCAGAAGCGTGTGGGTGGATGTGTGGGGAGTATGGGTATGGGGTTCATGGCGGGGAGGGTGGCTGAGGTGTAGGAGCCGGGGGGTTGGGTTCTGCATGTATGGCAGTGTGTAGGGGGGTGCATGTGGGACACCCTATGAACCTGCGCACACTGTGCCTACACGCGCGCACACATGTACCAGCATGGTCGTGTGCTCCTGGTCCAGTGATGCATTTGGGAGCCGCATGATGCTGGAGCAGGGCGGGGGCAGGAAGCAGGGAAAGGGGTGGGGTAAGGTGGGGTGGGTCTGGGCTGCTGGGTCCTGCTGTAGGTTCCCCCTGGGTCCTACTGCCCCTGTCATCTTTGACAGGCAGCAAGGAACAAATAAATACTAATTTACTAAATTTTTAAGGGGCCCTGTGGGCCAGATACAATGGCCTGGCGGGCCATATTTTGCCCACCCCTGAGTTAGTGTGCTCTTAATGCCTTAAAGCTTCCCTGTTCACTGGTGTTATCTTAAGCACGATGGTTTTCAATCTGTGGTCCACGGGTCCCTAAAAGTCTTCAGACTGCCACAAGGCTCAGAAAAAGATTGCTATAATCAGTCAAAAGTATGTGAATACCCACACTTAGAATTCAGAGGCATCCATACCTCCATTTGGGGGTCCAAATTTCCAAAGGGGTCCACACTTACATTCAAAATGTTTTAGGGGTTTGCAGATGAAAAGAGATTGAAAGCCACTGCTCTAGCCTATTGAAATGCATACTGTTTAACATTAAATCTCTGTATGATATTACCATGCCATTTTCTTGAGGTTATCCAATAAACATCAAAGTTTTGGGGGCTCTTGGTCCAAATACCCAGTGGAAAAACCTATTTTGGTGTCTGCATAGATGGCAGAAGTTTCATCTTATGCTTTTCCAGCCAGCTGCTATGCTGTGGATCTGATTAAAAAAATAATACAATTTTAATATATGACAGAGTCCAGTCAATCCTTAGTACTCCTGTCTTGTCCACAAGGAGGCCTGATGATGTCAAATGCGATGGTAATTTTATATTGTGGAGTTCCATCCATTGAAACTGGATGTTTTTACAAAAACAGTGTAGAACCAGGATCTGCAACAAGTGATAAATGATAGATTACTACTGAGCAGGCCCGTATTTCAGCTGGTGACCTTTTTAAAAAAAAAAAAAAAAAGCTTTATTGCACCTCAGTGAGCCATCTCATGCTCCCTTTGTTGACTAATTAAGGATATTTCTCTCACTTTGCTTGGTGTTGAAATGTTTTCACATAGCTTGTGGCTTTCTCTATTTTTGGTTTAGCTTAACTTTCCTGGCCTGGTAGCTCATCTGATTTTTCCCAACAGGGATAATGTAGAGTGGTCCGAGGAGCAAGAAGCCAGTGCAAGGAGAAAAGTTCAAGAGAATAGCATTCAGTTCGTGCCACCAGATAAACAAGGTACTTATAAATTAAGCTCTTGTTTTTAAAAACCTTGACTTGGCAATAGAACCACTGACAATTCTAGCTGAAAACACAGCTTAATTTATTTTCAGAAAAATTCATCCAAGTGCACATTATCAAGTGCCCAAAGCTAAAAAGCTACTGGTCTTAATACATCCCTCCCAGACGTATTTCAGACTTGTCTGGTATCTTAGTTCATTAGATATTAGAGGTAGATCTACACCAGGGTAGATTGTATTTAAATTAAACTTAATTTAAATCATGACTTAAATCATTTGCCAGGAAGTGTCAATTTAATAATTGTTTTCTGCAAAAAGTGCATTCTTGTTGTTTGATATCCTTTATTCATTTAACTTCTTGAAATTTTGGTCTTTTAGGGAAAAGTAGGGGCTTGGCTCTGTGTACACAAACTTGCAGAGAGACAATAGGGATGATGGGTAGGGAATCGGGTCTGTTCTCTCTCATCTCCATATACTGCTGTTAACAAGGATGTTATCTCTGGAGACACAAATCCATAGTTTGAGAGCTGAAACTAAGCATCACAGAGATACTTAATGGAATCTTCTAGACCAGGGATGGGCAATTATTTTGGGTGGAGGGCCACTTACAGAGTTTTTGCAAGCTGTTGAGGGCTGCATGGGTAGCCCCACCCCTTGGCAGGTGTCTCGCCCACTGGTTGCAATTTTTGGATCTGAAGTCTTGCCCCCTAACCTCTGACCTTTGTCACCGGAAGTCCCTCCCCTTG